AAGAGAGCATTATACTAAATACATTTCTTTGAGCTTTTAACCATGTTTATAACATTGAATTCAACATTTTAATGCACAGTTCTCTGTGAGTATAGCATTTTTAGACCAACAAGGTGAAATGTTATAAATATGTGTTAACAGTTAATACCTCTTAGCCATGTAATACCCCCTCTATAAATCTCATTTTCTCAAAGCTACCCAAAAGACTGAAATAATCTTATCATTCTAAGAGGACAGGAAGATCAAATTAATACATAATCATAATCCATCAATGACATCTCAGTACTGATTGCTTTCAGACAAGCCTAAACCCAAATATAACAAATATACGTTCACACACATGTTCTTGCAGTTCACATGGCCCTGTGCCAGTTTTTCCTAGAAACTCAAGACATTTCCACACATGTTGTCACTGTAATGATGATGGCTGTCTGTTGAAGTTTGACTTTAAACATGACGTTTTGCTGTGAAAGGGGCATATAAGACAAGTCTATACCGTATATAGTTGTTACAAAGGAATGTTGGGACTCAAAAAAAATGTGCTGAGGCGATAAAGAAGGACAAAAACAAAGTGAAGATTATCAATGTACCAAGATTTAATTAAATATAATATATTAAATTATATATAGACATATGTGACACAATTTAAAGGATCTATATTATGCCACTTTCTAATATATGTTATAATGTTGTTTCCATTTAGAGTCAGTTCTTCTCTCAAACTGAAAACACTCTATTACCACCTTATCATGTGGTAATACAGGAAGTGCTCCACTGGGTTTTTAAACCACATACATCTTCAGTAGAATCATTTGTATAATTTCAGCCCTGGATTTGCCAATCTCTACTGGAAAAAAGGTAAAAGGTAGCAGTTAACTTGAAAACTACTAGTTCGTGACCTCACAAGGTGGAACAGAGCATTGTGATCTTGAGATGTAGACAAACTAATAATAAAGGATTACTTAAACATGTCTGACAATGTAACAATACACAACTCAAGGTGTATTTTTTGACATGGTAACAACATTATAACATGTTTTAAAGCTCACAAGAGTCAATGTTGCCTAATATAGGACCTTTAAAATGTAAACACTTGACTTTGTCTTTGTTTACGATCATGGCGCATTTCATCAAGTCTAGATATATATATACAGCTTTGCATTGCATAGCTGGCTAAATTCTCCTCACGGGGCTAATCCATGCCCATTCAGTCTATATTAACTAACATGCACTGTCTACGTACCTGTCTGGGTTATGCAGTGGGAATTTCAACAGCCACTAAGAGACATGTAGGCATATCTTTGTTTATTTTGGTTCTTTCGAGTGGTGTCTGGGATCACTAAGTACTCACGGCTCCACTGATAGTTGGCAAGCAGGTTAGGTGACACAATCCTTTTATAGGCTTAACGACATATAATTGTTATAATTGATTTGACCTAAATAGATTGTTGTGCATTTTTATTTACTGATAATCAAAATAAAAATTACAGTTTACAATTCTTCAGTGTGTAATATTTCAACATGACCCACTTAGGTCTTTGAAGCATGATATGTTGCTATAGAGATATAGTGTGATAAATAATAATATTAGGTTATTAAGATGAGCTATGTAACTTTTTGGTTAGGGGTCTGACAACTGCTTGTTTCTATGAATATGTCATTGGTCTGCTTGGTATGTTCCACAGTATGACATTAAACAGCTCTACCTCACATTTATTAAATTACATGTGGTTTCATAGCTCGGAAATACCTATAAAAACAGGTATTCTGACTGTGAGTAGGGATGCCTCTCCACAGATCTGACCTGTAACTTGGTGTGGTTTGGTCTTCATAAAGATTGAAAGGTTTAAAACCAAACTGTGAAACATTCCAGACAAAGCAATGACATCTGCAGCGAGAAATAATTCGACAGACCACCAGAAAAGTTACACATTGCACCTTTAAAAAGCAGGAGCTACAAATAAATAGCTGTATGAAGCAATAATTAGCCTTAGAAGTCATTTATTCAAGCCTCTACAGCTCAAATCTTACCATATTACAAGAAAAATAACAAAAAATCATCCCAATTTTGCATAGAGAAAGTACCCAAAAGCCGATTTTGTAATTCTCCTGACAGGCCTAGACCCACATACTTGCTAACTCCCCCACCTCACAATGCTGTCATTTTATCATTATCGACTATTGGCTTAGGCAGAACAGAAAACAATTGGAGACCTATATAAAGATCTATATGGCTAAACATAGTTGGAAGTTTCTATTGTTATGTCTCAAATCCACTTACCGCACCATTAATTACATTTGCAAAGACTCTGAAAACATAGTCTGCATTACAGGGTCAGAAATAGCTCACTAGGACAATAGATCGGATCAGAGAAGTGCTCATGAAAAGATATAGGAAATGGCCATGCAGTCTCGTAAGATGAGACCAAACAGATAAAGCTATATTGGGATGCATTGATTAGTTCTGGCTTCTTCCACGAGGAGAGACCATCTGGACTTATCAGATCAATAGCATCATAAATTAACCAGAAGTGGGTGACTACAGGACAGAGCCCCTGGGGAAAAGGAGAGGTTGATTTCCTGAATGGTGATCCCAAAGGTGAAAGACCGGAAGGAAGGAGATAAAATATTTCTCACTTGTACTTTGTGTCTGGAGTATATAGAGGAAGTAGAGAATAAACTGATAATTAGATAAATAAACCAAAGGAGATACAGCCTCATATCTGATAAAGTGGAAATGGACCTTGGACTGTAGATAATATGCGTAGGAGGAGAAGAGGAGGACTGCCAAAATTTGAACTCAGAAGTCAAAGAGTTTTAAATAGGACTAGTGACGCAGAAAGAAAATGATGAACCAAAAATAATGCAACTGGGAGTATTGATTTAGTAAACAAAACTGTTACCAAAATGTGCTTTTGCGTCATACTTTTCCGGCCAGACGGATATTCGGCAACTATCTATATTCCTACCTTATTTTTAATGGAAAATTAAAATCAAATCAGATATACTTTATTGTCCCAGAGGGGAATTTGTCTTGGATAAAGTGTTGACATCTGCAGAACACACAATAAGGACATACAACACGAAATCCAATGTTAGAAGGAGAGATACACGATCCAGCACTTTCAGTTCCAAAACAATATTGATATGTACAGAAAATGGCACTTATTTCCTTAACCCTCTCCAGGCAGACGTTGCAGATTTGCAACAGCTAAATTCCAATTACCTACTTACTCCAAATCCATATTATATGAGCTTTTTTAACTCAGGAGCCTTTTCTCCCATCCATGCTGATAAACGTGGGCGATGCAGACTGTGCAAGAATGGCTACACGCAAACGGCCTGCCAGAAGTGCAAAATACTTTTTTTTTTTTTAAAGAATAAAAAAGTCAGAATTGTATATTACTACCCCATATTATAATTTTCCTCAAATATAATATTTTTCCTGATACAAAAAATTAATTTGAGCCTGAGAGGGTTAAAACAGAGTTAAACTATTACAAAAGAGATCCAATTGTGTTACGCAACTGTTATTTATCCTTCGTATCACTTTATATGAATAAAAGTTCAAACATTGTACATGTTCTAGGTTAAAATCAGCCTGTAAATAGTCTTAATACACTCAATTAAAGTCCTAATCATGATATCGGCTTAAACAATATTATGCAACCAATACCCAATACAGCAAATTTTTTGTATCGGCACCCATGCTCTGTACCACTGTCGGTAAACAGCCAATCAGAAAGTGTTACACATACAAGCATGTGATGAGGTCCATGTGAATTTTGTGGAAAATGAATAGGAAGAGATCACACTTCACACAATTAAAATGGAACTTTCTAGTAGTTTTTAGTAGTAGTTCCCTTGACAGATATTAGCCAAGTAGAGTTTTGCAGCAAGTTAAACGAGTATAAAAGAGGATAAAAGAGTACAAAAGAGAAGATACAGTATAGATGGTGAATTAATGTTTTTTAATGCACTGATCTTTTGACCTCATGTCCCATTGGCGTGAGGGGTCCGCTCTGGAGTCGAGCTGTACTCACCCTGTCACGTTTATTTTGAGTTTCTCTCTTTCTACTCTCACTCTATTTACATAACCAAACCAATGAAGAAACCATACCCATGTTTCCACTTACTATAATGTGCGAGACATATGTTGTGTAGTTTGCATGCGAGGAAAGAGGGATCTTAGAGTGGAGAAGGTGATCACATTTCTCAAGGACTAACTGCAGAACAAAACTACTAAACTATAAAGCAGAAGTATCCAGAAGTTTGGATTACAGGTCCGTGCTATAATGTTGTTACCTCCTCAAAAACATACCTGGAATTGTGTTTAGTTTTATTCACACATGTTTAGAAACCCTTTATTATTAGTCTGCCTCTAACGTCCAAAATGCTCTGTTCCACTTTGTGATTTCAAGGTAACAGTTACATTTTACCTTTTGTTTAGTAGAGATTGGAAATTCCAGGGCTGAAATTATTCAAATTATTCTAGTGAAGTATGGAGTTTAAAAACACAGTATAGCACTTCCTGTTTTACCACATGACATCACAAGGTGTTTTACATTTGAGAGAAGAACTCTAAATACACAGGATTTGTGTGTTAAACATGTGTGAATGAAACAAAACACAACTCCAGGTGTGTTTTGATGAGGAAACAACATTATAGCATAGATCCGAAATAGTGTAATATGGACCCTTTAAACTAATCAAAACCGTAACTGCAAAAGACCAAAAGAAGCGTGCATATAGCATTAGTCACTCTAACACAGATTGGAGGACAGATATATTCACAACACCCCCTCTGTAAGTGAGCCCCCTTCTCGGAGTATCTGAATGGTTTGTAGTGGGATCAGTGTCAGAAGGGGGGTGTCTACAGCCAACTGTAGGGCCCTGAGCCAAGGACCTATCCAATTGGAGTGAGTTGTCAGATAGAGAGAGGATCTGAGAGAGGAAGAAAAGTTATTTACATCCTGTTTCTATTGCCGCTCACAGACACGCCATCTCCGAAGTGTCGGCAGAGATGAAGAGCCTCATCATCGACAAGAACAAGATGAGTCCAGATGAAGACCCTGAGCTGCTGGTTAAAGGTTAGTCAATATCCAGTCACATGACACTTAAGTTTGACTGTATATACATAGTATTGACTAACAGTAACTTTTAGGTGGTGACAATTTTACTATATGTGATTACATTGACTATATAGCAAAGGTTAGAAAAAATATGAACAGTTTATAATAATAATAAATAATATTCTAAACCCTTAAGTAGTTACTGAACCTGAATCATTCATATTTAACCATTTGTTTATTATTAAATCTTAGCTTATTGAGCTGTTACCTTGAACACTACCACTTCATGCCATCTCAAGGTGGAACAGAGCATTTGGAGCTTTGGAGATACACACAGACTAATAATGAAGGTTTACTCAAACATGTGTGAATGAAACAAAACACAACTCCAGGTATGTCTGTGAGGAGGTAACAACATTATGGCTTCAAGCTCATATTTAAAGAGTCAAATTTCTATAATATAGGACCTTAAAGATGTGTTTATTATGAAGTACGGGATAATCTTTTGTCTGTATTTATTTTGGTTGGTCACACAAGAGGTAAGGTTAATTCAGTGCATAATTGATACACCAAAAACACCTTGTATTTGCACCCTGCAAACATTTAATATTATTGTATTCTGACATTGTTTGATATTATTTAACTTCCATGATGGTCTATTGGTAACTGATCTTTCTTAATGTCCTTTTTTGTCATATGTTATAAATATAAAAGAGTGTCTTTTTACTACAATTTTACATAAGTGCATGAGATCCACCACATGACTGTTCTCTCTCAGTTCGTTACCTAATATCATTTGCTATGATCTCATGAGATATTCTTGTACTTTATATTTACTTTGTATAAACTGCTGTGGTTGTGTTACCTGTTTGGGATGGAGACAGATAAATTTGACTGCAGTTACTAAGCACATTCAGATCACACGCGTCTCACGGTACTGGCCTTTCTCTGCCCCCTCCTTCAAAACATAAGACAACATCAGATACACGGGTCTCTAGGCTAGTTTGTACACATTACCAGCCTTCAATAGCATAACCTTGGCACCTTAAATATACCATGACATTTCTGCCTATTCATTTCACAAGGATATTCTTTCAGTAGGACCTCTATTCAGGCAGGATATCCTGGAGCAAGTATGGCTAGATGTATGGCCCTGTATCTAAAATAGGCCAGCTCCATTGCTTGTTATAGCTGTGGGGGGGTGCATTGTAAAAGGGATGTTTTCATTGGCTTATTGACATTCTTTTGTTGATTTTAAGTTAAAATGAACTGCTCCCGGTCAATGACATAATTTAGATTTCCTCATGCTCCGGTAAACTGAACTATATGTCATTCTGGACTGAAAAGGTGAGGAACGTTATTGTTAGGTTAGTAAGGAGTGGTCCACGTCACCATGTCCTTGTGGTGAAAAGATACATATCTTTAAAATATATATTTACTCTGTCATGTGACCATAGACAAGTGCCCATACTTTTCTAATTTGAATTCTCATTTTTTCCTCTTAATAAGCCTGACACGATAATTATTATATCAACTTTCCATTCAATATATGAAAGCTGGAATTATATATTTTTATTTTTATTTGTAATAGTGGGGAGATTTTAGACTTTTTTATGTAATACAATGAGATTTGAGCTCTAGAGGGTTGAATAAGTCATTTCTATGGCTAATTATTGGTTCATTCAGCTATTAATTGTTGCAGTGCAGGCCTTTTAATGTTACTGTATATTTAAAAACTTGTTTCATGTGATTATCGTGCTTCAAAATTTGTTACCATGACAGGTCTACTTCTTAAGATCTCAATGTCATCCCAGTAGTAGCAGTTTCTGGACATCTATTTGCTAATCAATTCATTAAGATAAAGGTAGTGCATTGCCCGTACTGGTTTATAAATGGGATAACAATTACAATTCATTCTGTTACTATTAAGTACTGGATCAGTCATTTTAGGTTTATTTGCAACTGTAGGATGCAGTAACCCAACATGGTTTTGCTGTAAAGAGATTAAATAAAAATCTGATATATCTTCACCATAACAGGACAAGTAATTCTATAAGATTATTTTGGGCGTGGGCCTATAACACTGTGTTTTGTCCTCTTGTCCCTGTATAGCAGACAAAAGCTGTACAGAGAAAGACTGTTTGCTTAGTTTGAGTTTTAGAGGAGGGGTTTTGGGGTTCAGAGGTTACAAATGAAACAAATTAAGGTTGAGCCGTGGTCCTCCGGGGAGGCATTAGCTTGGTCCGAGATGGGTTCCAGATGGGGGTCCATGGGGGGGTTACACAGGGGGTCCCAGGACGCCATAACCGCTCTTCTCTCTCTTCCTGTCTCTTCTGTTTGACTTAGAAAAACTGTCTCAAAGTTCACAAACAGAAAGACATGTGTTGAACATCCCACAGAAGTGTTGGGGTTGTGTACATGTACTTCTACTGAAAACATCCACAAATCAGCTTTTCTACACCGAGCTGAGAAAAATGTGTTTCACAAGCTATGAACTAAGATAAGAAATAAGGTCAATTAGGGCACTGGTCTAATCTTGTAAACTTTGTAATCTTTTAGTTCTGGGGCTCTGTCCATTCAGCTGCTTGAAAAGTTGTTGTCTGAAAGGTTCACTGTGTAACTTTTCTGGAGAGGTAACCTGTTTGTCTTCGTGGAGATGTTAATGCTTTGATGTTAAACTAATCTGTCTTGCATTTATTCAACTAGAGGTGTTATTTATGGGTCAAAAATATCTTTTAGAAAAACATCCATTCTTACTGTGAGGGGGTTCGCCTCTCCACAAATCTAACTTGTAATTTTGCTTTCAAGTCTCTATTTACAGTCATAAGCTTATGGCCATACTGTGGAACATTCCAGGCACATCTCAACGGAGATGAGCAGGTGACGGAGCCTCCACCAGACTAGTTACACAGTGCAGCTTTAAGTGTGTTTTTTTTTTTTTTTTTTAATTAATTCAAGATACTCTCTTGAATACTTATCAATCATATTTTTTGTGTACTTCATTGTTCAACTACAGCTGCAGTTTGCTGTGATGACAATGCAGTTTCCCCATTCTGTAACGAATAAAAGTTTTCTCATTTTAAAACATTCAAAATCACAACAAATCAACTCTTTGTAAACTTAAAGTACAGTAGTTAGTTAGTTATAGTTACTTTATTTTGATCACACAAATCAAATCAAAGACACTCAAATCATGAACTTCTAATGAAAATAAAGAAAAAAAAAAGTTTAAAACATTTATTCAACATTTGTAGTAAAGTTAACAGTGTTTTTCACACCTCTACAACATCTGCCCAGTACTATACCTCAGTTTTTCTTTTTTCTTTTCACGTGGCGTTTCCTAATACCCTCTGCTTCTATGATGTGGTGATGCAGTTAAGACTTCAGTTTATCGCCATGGGCCATATCTGGTTGGTTTTGTGCAAAGCTGCTGTACTTACCCTATGGAGGCACTTTTAAACAGGAAACCTCTTCTACCCCCCTATTTCTCTGGCTTTATTTTTATTCTTGAGTGGCAGTGGGGGCTTTGTGCTGCCTGGGAAAACCATTTGGGGCAGATGAAAGTTAAAGAGGAGAGGAGAGTGAGGGGAAAGGGCAAAGCGTGCGGGCGAGCTGAGCAGAAGTGACAGGTGGCACGCAGCTTGTTAACCGCAGAGGGAAGTCGTGATGCTGGCGTGGCGTCACTCCCGGTTTTTCACAGGGTAGAAAGCCCAAGGTACAAGGCATAATTGTTCCTTTTAAACCACTTATAAACCATATGGGCACACACACACACACACACACACACAATGCCACGTTACAAGTGTGGCCGGGCTGTGCTGTGCTGTATGCAGGAATAGTTGTGTGCAGGTGGCCCGCTGTAAGCTGTCCATTAGAGTTGAGCAATGCATGATTTACAAGATAATATTGAAATTACTGTTTGGAAGGGATTCAGATAATAAAACTGTTCTCATTTTTAACTTTAAAGGTCCTATATTACTCAAAATTGACTCTTCTGAGCTTTAAGCCATGTTAGTTAGTTGTTACCTCCTCCAAAACATACTTGGAGTTGTATTTTGTTTACATTACATTTTCAATTAGATGTGGTTTTATAGCGCAAAAATACAGGCAAAGATAAACATGCCTCTCCACAGATCTCACCTGTAACTTGGCCTGATTGGTCTCCATCAAGGTAGAAAGATTTAATACCATACAGTGAAACATTCCAGACAAAGCAATAACATCTCCATGGAGACAAGCATTTGACAAACCCTCCTCTAGAAAAGTTACACAATGCACCTTAAAAAAAAAAGTTTTGTTTTTGTCAATATTGTCCACCTGTAGTCTCCGTTAGACCTCTGTATGAACTTTAGCCTTTTCGCCAACCCTCAGCTTTCCATTCTCCAGGGACAACATCTGGCAAGTTCTTTCTTCCCATCATTTATTTATCCAGTTGTGAGATTAAATATTTATTAGGAACAATTTGCGTGCGTAGCCGGAGGAGGGCAGGGCATTTCTGTTTAGGGATTTGTCCAAAATATCTCCCAAAATGCACATTAAATTGTTGATTGGAAAAGCTCTGCCCGAGACCAGCTCTAATCTTCCACTCTCATGCTACAGCTCTTGTACTTATGTGTTAGGTTTCTCACTCTGTCAGCCTCTTAAGTGGTAATTATACTGTCTACATGAAGGGTTTAGGCCTATGCTTTGGTCCAATGTATTTTTATACCATAGTACTTATTTGAACAAGAAAAGCTGGATCAGGGTTCATGGACAATTACACATGCCTTAAGTTAGACAGTGTTCATAAGGAGACCAGATGTAGCAGTTTGGTCACTCTCTAATATCAGCCTACATCAGTATATGAATTCTTACCACATGAAAGAGTTATATACAAAAATATACAAGAAAAGTATATCTCTTTATCGCTGTGGGAGTGAGAGTGGGTCAGGCGAAGTGTGCTGCCCTTTATAACTAGAAGACTGACGGGTTGCTTCGTGCATGTAACACAGTATATGCTGATGCTGTGTTCTTGGGCAAGATACTTCACATAGCAAGGACCTTTGACATGCCAAATTAATCAGAAGGAACTACACAGACCATAATTCTTATTTTAATTCTTGATTTCTGTGTTCACGTGATAGATTGTATAAAAAAGTGGATTAAGGGAGTGTGACGTCCCCTATAGTGGTCGCCTCCAGTCAAATGAAGCTTAGTGACAAGCGCGAATTTGGAGCCGAGTTCCATATTTACGGATAAAATTATGAAATAAGACACCAGGATCATGTAGAGCGGGTTAATATGAACATTTTAAGACCAAAATGATGAGGCCCACTGCAGTAGTTGCAGAGAGAGGGGTGAAAATGTTTCATACATATATTCATGCAATAATATCATACATTATTGCAATCAGTAGTGTGTCATAAGATTATTACATTCATTTGTTCACATAAGTTTTCCATATGTGTTCCAGGATGGCTGTTTCGTGAGGTGCGGGGAAACTGGATCAAACAGCGGCGTTACTGGTTTGTGCTGAGCCAGGACTCTCTGGACTATTACACCGGCCCAGAGAAGGGAGCCCGGAGACTGGGAACGCTGGTCCTCACCAACCTCTGCTCCGTCATCTGGCCGGATAAACAGACATTTAAAGAGACTGGTGAGTAAGAACATGTATTCTATATTGTAACAGTGGAAATTTTGACAAAAAAGTTTAGTTTGTTTCTTAGTCTTAATCTTAATGTTTAGTTCTAGTCAAGATGTAGTCAAATCATTATTTTAAGTTTTAGAGTAGTTTTTGTCATCCAGAAAATACAATATATTTCATTTTGAATTATGATCAGTTGTATGTCATTGCTTCATGGGACATGAAGGTGTTCCTTGAATATCGAGTTTATTTATGGTCTAGTTTGAGATCTGTGATTGAAGTGGAACTTGGTGTCTCTTTCATTTACTGTAGGACAGAGGGATTATACAGACATCTCTTTATTTTTATTTATTTATTTTTACATTTTTATCTATACTTTCAGGCAATAAAATATCTCCTTTAGTCATAGTTTCAGTTGCTGAATGCTAACTGGTCTATAATCTGCCTTTGTGCGGTAAATGACTGTCAGTTTTGTCATTGCCAGAAACTCATCCACTTTTTTTTTTCTCAATATCACGCTTGTGGTCAGTTTTCCCTCCTAAATGACCTGGGTAAGTTTGGGAAAGTCCAGCTGTGTTTAGCCCTTGTTGGTTTAGAAACCTCACATTTGAGTAATCAGACGGGGCATTCACTTCCCTCCTCTGGAATTAGTCAAACAAAGAAGAATAAGGATGAAATTCTTTGATGTTGTCGTTGGAAACAGTCATGACTTGTTCTTGGTAGTGGTGCCCTGTCTGGGAGTCCCTGTGTCTATCAATAGGAAGGATTATGTCCCGCTAACTTCACCAAACCATTTAAATTGTTGAATCCATTGTACAAAACCACCATAGTTCTTGCTAACTCAATATCCACAGGACTTTCCTTGAATTTTCAACACTTGCTTTGTCCAAACTTATTTGCCACTGAATTGCTTTATGTTTCGGCTAACAAAGTGACACATACAAGAAGAAGCATGCAGTCATCACTTCCTCTGCGTATTTCTCTTTTTTATTATAAGATACAAGGGAACTATAACATGGGAACACATAAGGGATCTTTTAATATCTTATAACTTCTTAATGCACAGTGTTTTATCCAGCAAGATTGGTCGCAAATCGTCAACTAAAACTAAATATCTTGTCTTTATTAAAACCCGCTAGCTCTGTCATTCTGAGATACATGTAATTCTTACATAACTTAAACAAAGTCATATTTTAAAAGGTTGAAAGAGTGCTCTCTGAACATAATCCATGTCTTATTTTAAATAAAAAATTGAAAAACGAAACACAATCCCAATACTTTAGGTTAGGTTATTTTCTGATTTGGTTATAATGTTTTTTCCTCATCAAAAACAGACCTGAAGTTGTGCTTTGTTCATTCACATATGTTTAACACACAAACCCTGCAATATTTAGGCTGCATTCTTCTCTCAATTGAAAACACTCTGTTCCACCCAGTGATGTCATGTGGTTATACAAGTGCACCACTGTGTTTTTAAACTGCATACATTTGGATAATTTCAGCCCCAATCTCTACTGAACAAAAGGTAAAAGGTAGCTGTTAACTTGGAAAGTCGCACTGCATGACATCACAAGGTGGAAGAGAGCATTTTAAGCTTTGGAGATTTAGATTGACTAATAATGAAGGATTACTCAAACGTGTGAATGAAACAAAACACAAAAAATACAACTCTCAGTATGTTTTTGAGGAGGTAAGAGTGTTTACATGACTTAAAGCTCACAAGAGTCAGTTTTGCGTAATATATGACCTTTTAAACACACTGGAAAACAAAAAAACTATTTATAAACCAACCACATAAACAAAGAAAGAACATACATATCAGAAAAAATCTATATACATATTTTCCCACAAATGTTCAGCCCTGGTTTCTATAGTAACCATTGGTAATATACTAATAGACATTTAGCGTTGTAATTATCACCTACACAGATATGCATATTGTGCCAAGTCACGTAGCAGGAAACCCCGATAACAGCAGAGGGGCTACAGATGAGGGGCTGACACACACATGTACACGCACGCACACACACATGCACACACGCACACACACACAGAGGAAGCGTGGCGTTTTTACTATTGTTGCGCATTCCTGTAAATGAGACACATGTCGAGATTCGCACTTGTCTCATAGGTCAGCAAATTGTTTTGTTTTGGCGTGGTCCCTGGTTTTGCTTCTGAACTTTGACCCTGACCTTTACTCTTGAATTAGATTAGTTTCAGATGATGTCACAACATTGTCTTGGTTTATAAAGTTTATTGAGATAGGGGAAGAAAAAAGTACAATGTGGTGACTGTGCTATAGTGAAATAAGGAACCTAGGATTTGTGGAGTCATTCTGGACATGTCAAGGTAAAAAATTCAGAAAAAAATGTAGCAGCACACGTATTATGATGCTGACAGTACATTGAAGAAGAAGAAGAAACAATTACATCACTCTTTTATCAAGTTACATGTGTTAAAGTATCAGCAGAAGAAGTATTAATATTTTTTATGGAAACTAAAAGAATATTGCTTCTCTAATGTAATATAGTTAATATAGATAAACTTCCTCTTGCCTGTCTCTGTGTAAAATCTGAGAACAACTTAGTCATTCTTATTTGTTTGTTCACTAATTTAATGGTGCACTATGTAACTTTTTGGTTGGGTATGACTTTAAACAGGTTGCCTCTCCACATATCTGACCTGGAACTTGGTCTAGTTTGGTGTCCATGAAGATAGAAAGGTTTAGTACATTCCAGACAAAGCAATAACATCTCCATGGAGAAAAGCATGTGATGGCCCCTCCACCAGAAAAGTTACACAATGCACCTTTCAATTACAACTGAAGAATGATACAAGAAGATTATAATATTTTCTATGTTGTCTTTCAGGGTATTGGAGCATAACAGTGTATGGGCGTAAGCACTGCTACAGACTCTACACCAAACACTTCAATGAGGCCGTGCACTGGGCTTGTGCCATTCAGAAAATCATTGACACCAAAGCTCCAGTGGAAACGCCCACACAGCTCCTCATCCGAGATATCGAGGTATTACTCATTACAGTGTACATGGGTGTGAATGGTGTGAACTAAGCACTGTTGTCATAAAAATTAACAATTAAATGGCCTATATTGCGTTGTTTTCTGATCTATGTCATAATGTTGCTTCTTGACCACAAATATACCTGGAGTTTTATTTTGGTCATACACACGTTTAACACACAAACCCTGTATATTTTCGCTCAAACTGAAAACAATGATGTCATACAGGAAGTGCTCCACCATTTTTTAAAACTCCATACACCTTCACTAGAATCATTTACATAATTTCACCCATGGAATTGTGTTTTTGGGTAACAAGCACTATAACAAAGCTCACACAGAGTCAATTTTGCGAAATATAGGACCTTTTACAAACATGACCTTTTAAAAATAAAATCTTTTGAAATATTTATTACATATTCCTTTAACTACTGATTATTACTTAAAATAATTATGAGATTTTTATTGTTAGAAGGAAAGTCTGGCTGCTGGAGAATTGCATGGATCTCCAAAAATGATGATATAAAAACAGTTACCTTCATGACTAAAATTTCTTTCAGAGGCTTATCAGAATACCTGTTTTTTGTGTGCTGGGGTGTGGAATCATTGTGGATATGGTTAGTAAAGGTATTGATAAAAGGCGTATATCCAGACTTACATTAAAAACTCCACTGTAAAACACATTACTGTCCCGGTGCCCTGTTACTATGGAAACCACCGGGCAGCGGAGTCCAAAGTTTCCTCTGGCTTTTCCTATGAGTCACTTCAGCACACGGCCCTGGCAGGACTTCTGATAAATGATGAAATGCGATAATAAATTCAATACAAAGGATTTTTATGACCACAGTTATGATATCCACAGGCCTTTGATTTGTTGCCACTAAAATAAAAATGAGTTATTATTTGTCATTAAATAGTAAAACAACTGTTTTTCTATCATGTATTCAAGTATTATAAGCGGTGAAAGTAATGCATTTTCATATTTAAAGGTTGTGGAGTGGAGATGTTATTAGTTTGCTGAAAAAAATTATACTTTGCATCTGATGTCATATCATTCCCTGGAGGTATGAAGCTAACTGTCTTTGTCTGAAGCTCTGTTACTCAAGTTAGACTACTTCTGAGTTTTATTTTAACACAATGTGACCAGAAAGAGCTGACTTAGTTGGAACAGGTGAGATGGTTTGTACTGTAAGTCCATCTCAAATAACACTATGGACACAAGCTAGCTTTTTGACCTCACCTGTTTTTTAACCTCACCTAAACAGAACCATGATTGCTCATATTGATCACAGGCTCCTGAAAATTGATTGATTGAATCCATTTTGTATTTTTTCTTCAGTTCGGATCATCTTACACATTATCGCCTGTTTGCCAGCATGTGCATTATGTCACTATGGTAAACACCAATAGGGATTCATGTAGAAACCCCCCAGCGTGATGTCACTGCAAAGAATCAATGGCATCAAACTTATCTATCTCCATGTAGTCAAGAGGTCACGCTACCAGGTCAAATTACAGGTCAAATCTGTGGAGTGGTGAGTGGCAAAGATAAAATACATGTCACATTTTTTAACAATATAAAAACGTGTAATCAAATACATGGTTATGAAGTTTAATGCTTTTCCGTGGAACATTTTTAGCAAAGCAATAACACTGGCTGTCACTCCACCACAAAAGTTAGATAGTAGATCTTTAACCCTGTTTTAAATATTTTTACAACAATAATAAACACAGTGCTATTTAGAAACAGTTGTGAAACCGCTCACGTGTAGAAGTCTGTTTTTAGGGGACGGACATATTTTTAGACGGCGAGTTACTGGAGAACAGAGCATGCAGGAATCTCATTGAGACAGACAGATGACCCGCTAGCATCGCTCTGCCCCGCGGGTGAAGAGGGGGGAGGGGGGCAGTTTTGGCAGTCAAGATTAGGAAGGGCTTGGCATGGAACAGTAAAGGCCAGATAAGTGCTCCTTGCAAGGCCTCCTGTCCCGGTAATCTCCAAATGAAGGTCTGTAATCTGGAAGAAAGTGGTTCATCTGCCCGTGTCTGCCCCTGTCTGCCCCAGTCTACTCGCATATCAGGGCCAATGTCTTAGGTAACAGAAAGATGTTTCTAGTATGTTCTGGTTTGTTCTCATATATGTACTTTTTTTTTTTTTTTTTTTTTCTTACTGGCCCACAGCAATAAGGAATGGCTAGATTGTCAGCTGAATGTCACAATGTCAGATATATTGGAAATATCTGAACTTAACAGTGCAGAAGGAACTTTCATTTCTGCCTATCTCCTGTATTTGCTGGGAATGATGCAGGAATTATCTGTAGTGTGATATTAAATGTTTAGTATCTATACTCGTGCATTCAATATAAAGGTGTTTTATAACATGCACTTTTAATTCAAGTAGGGTTACCGCTTCACAGATATGACTTGTAACTTGGTAGTTTTCATGTGCTTGTTTCTATGCAGATAGATAAGCCTCAACAAAAGCATCTCCATGGAGAACTCAGTGTCAATATGTAGGATTTGTATGTTAAGGTAATGTTAACTCCAGGTATGTTTGTGATGTGAATGCAACATTATTAAATAGCATAAAATCGAGTAATATGGGCCCTTTAACTTAGACTTAGACAAACTTTATTGATCCACAAAGGAAATTATTTGGATACAGTAGCTAAACATCACAATAAAAAATAATAAAGTTCAAAAATATAAATGGTAAAAACAAATTAAAAATAAGCAGCAAAAATAGTAAAGTAAAAATAATACCTAATTTCATTTTGAGACGGCAAACAAGTTCATTTTGACATTTTGTTTATGAAATTGAAATGGCGTCTCAGTTGTTGGTGAGTGGTTCCTTGCACCATATGGGACAACAGTATTAGAATTTCGAGGTTCATCTTGAAGTACATTCTCTGTTGATTTTTAGCCCTTCTTTGCAGCTTGTTGCCTTCAGCTTCCTTCACCTCTCGCCTCAGACACACTTTCACAAATAGGTGAAGTATTTTCCCTCCAGTGTGAGATTGGACCAGCCACAGCAACAAAATCAAAGGGACCAGAACAGTGGGGCCATTGTGTAACCACCACAGCCTGCTTATCTGAAAGGCATGGATCCAAGACATAACCATAGAATAGGGGAAGGTTTGGTCCCATAGTCAGAAGTCTCAGTTGAACCTGGAGCAGTATTCTAATAGTTGAAAAGCTATGATGAGTGTATTTTAGATAGGGCTGCCACATTCGCCTTGATCTAATTGAAATTGCAATTTGAATTGTTGTATTAAATTGCTAATTTAATAGAGTGTAGATTGTTTTCATAAACATATTATCATCTGCAAGAACAAAATAATTCCCAGTTTAATGTATAGAACCTGCTTCCCCTTTTGTCAAGATCTCAACAAACGGAAATGCACATCATTCCTGTATTAGTTAAGATGTGCTTAAAGAAGACATATCGTGTCTGCTATATAGTTATAATCTAAGACATGGATCATTCTGTTATAATTTGCACAGTTTAAAATGCAATATTCATCTAAAACGACTTAATAAAATAAACAAGTTCACTGACTTCATGCGTTGGAAATCTGTGGTGCCCAATGGGAGCTGACATCGCCGTGAATGTCATCACAACAAAGTGTAAGCAACTCCGACAGATTGCTGCAGATCACGCTAGCAAGTAGTTGATTTTTAAAAATTCGTACCAAAATGACTACATGATGCTGCCGAATCCTTCATGTATCACAAATTAAGAAAATAAAACTGGAGAATGAAGTACAGAGCAGTGGGCGACTGGGCGTATGCCAGTGGCAGTGAGAACGGATTGATCGGCAATATGGCGTTTTGGAAATAAGCAATTAAAGATTACTCAAACATGCATGAATCACTCCAAATACAACTTCAGATGAGTAAATGGTGAGGGGAAACAACTATAACATGGTTAAAAGCTCTGAAAAGATGACTTTGCATAAAAGGTCTACTTCAGTTTGGTCTTCTCTCAAATGTTATTGCTCTTGGATGTGAACATGTGAGCTTTACTTAAAATAAACTAATACATTTAATCACAATTACAATTAAAATGGTTCTTGGAAAACCACTGTGCAATAGCTTTAAAAGACATTTGACGTTAGAAATCCGACTGATTTGGCAGGGAGTAATAACAGCCTCTAGAGTTACCACTGCTTCGATTACACACAGCATATGTTGAAAAAGATCTGAAGCTCACACTCTGCAGCTCTGTGAAAACCAGATGGAGGCGCAAGGAAACAGGAGACCGCTCACAGTCTCAGCTCTGGCTCTTTTAAATATCATCCGTACCACTGGACACATGGGCAGCAGAGGACTCCCATAGTTCAAACAGACAGGCCCGTCAACAGTGCACCAACACAGGAGAAGAATGTGTCAGGTCCTTCCCAGTAAAGTGGGGGGGGGGGTTAAGGTTAGAACCTTTGAGATGGTAAAGTATGTTAATTGCCTGATATATGTAATGGATATAGGGCTGATATTTTAGATAATTTGGGGGAAATGTAATGTATCTATATATTTAACCTCCAACATTCATGCTGATACTTTGCATTTGGTGTCATCAAAATTCTCTGGGGGTATCTAGGCTCTGCTCTGTCTGAGGCTTCCTTAAACTTTCATTTGAGTTTTATTTTGACACAATCTTACCATAAAGAACTGACTTAGCTGGAACTACAACAGGTGAGATTATTTGTGCTGTTAAACAAGTCTCTCACACATAAAAATTACAGTTAGTCATTCTTATCTTTTTGTTAAAAATCAAAACCTAAACAGAACCTGAGTGTTTGTATTGATCACAGGCTCCTGAAACTGTGTTGTTTAAATCCATTTTGAGTTTTTAGCCACTTTTTAGGAGTGTTTGGTAATGTGTGCATTGTGTTACCATGGTAACTCCTAAACATTCCACCTTTAAAGCTGCATGTAGAACCCCCCCCCCCAGCATTATGTCACTGCGAAGTATCAATACTGGATGATAAGTCAATATAGTAATCATCAGGCCTATGCAGCAAGCAACAAAACAGAATGCATCAGCTAAAGGGGGGGATTTGGTTTGTCCTTTAGCAGACTGGGGGGGGCAGGTTTTTGGGGTTAGCTGAGGCTGGACAGAGCCAAAGCAGTGGCAATGTTACTAATGAGCAACAGGTGCTGGGGCAGAAGTGTGGAGACCATCTGTACGGCTGGAGGCACCTTTTCACATACGTCCTGACACACACAGACACACACTAAACTCTTTGACACCAGTGGATAAAATATAACGTGTCAGTCGTGCCGGTGCGGTCTGGTCGGTCTTCATTTGACCTTTCTGTGGCTTTGAAAGGGGCCAGAGCGCAGACTTTACTGGGGCCAGATCGACCCTCATCACCTCAGCGCACTTTCACCCACTCTAAATCACTCACACAACTGCCCTCAGCTTGTACGAGAGACATATGGACAGTACAGGCCTGTCACGATTGCAAATGTTGAAGTACCATATATTGCTGAAGAAAATATAAACTATAAACAGTGATACTGAAACTAATATCATCCCTCCAAGTTGTATTTAGAGTGATATGTACATGTTTGACCTTCTTCTCAAGACTCCGTTGCTCCAACAACTCTCATACATCGTTCCCGCGGACGATGATACACGAAGGATTCTCACAAACAAGGGGAAAAATATGTGTTTTTACTTTAAGTGTAAAATTTTAATTTAAATTGTCTGAAATATAGCAAAATGATCCACAGGTGTCATGGATTATAACTATATATAGCAGACAAAAGCATAATATGTCTTCTGTGGTAATCTGATGCTGGTATTACAGTGTGTATAGACTTGTCTAATTTGTAACACCATTGTCATTTGTTTCCTTTGTCTTGTGTTTTAGGAAAATAAGTTCAACCCTGAGGTGGTGGAGCACATTTTCCAGCACAACCCCATTCTGAAGTACACTCAGGGCCCCCTGTACGCTCCTCTGTTGCCCTTCCCCTACGGCAGCCCAGAGCACAGATGTGAGTAACGCGCCATGCACCAGTATATCTGATGAGGGATCTTATGTGTCAAATAAAACACCAATCAGGGGTGGGCGATTTGCCAAAAAATTAATATTACAGTTTTCTTGGAGCCAAATTGCAATTTGGATTTCATCACAATTTATGCACACTTAGTATCTTTATATTGTCTTGAAGATGTGATTAAGTCATCTGAAAAAAATTGCTGGCTTGGATATAGGCTTCCAAATATCTGTTCAGTTGATATCCAGTGGGACATATAATTTGATGTAATAAAACTATTTACTGATCATAGTTGGACCATAAAGTCTCAGAATGTTTGAATTTTTATTTGCACAATATTGTTCTGTGATTACTTCAGAGATAACAACTACATACAAAATATTTTGACAAGTTTTGTCTTATGTCTTATTTTTGTTTAAAGGAAATGTTATTTTCAGTCTCTGCACTAGTATTGGTTATCAGGTATTGGCAGATTCTTAAAACTATAATAGCAAAATCAGTATCAGAACTAAAAAAGCTGAATCAGTGCCCCCCTAGTTTACACTTTTTCAGTTGGTTAAATCCACCTGTCACTCACTCAGCATTGCTAAAACTGACCAATAGGAGGTGAGGCTAGAAAAAAAGTTGTTTGAGCACAGAGCAAGAGATGATTTGTGAATTATGAAATGGCGATGTTATCAAAAGAGCATACTGTCATAGAAGTGAGATCACTATTACATTTTTATCGCCATGTCTCACAGCTGTAACACCAGCACCTGGAGTCTTTGTGTGATGCTTAAACATCATCTGTTCTTTTTGTACACAGACCACAGTGGGAAAGGCTACGGCTCCGTGCGAGAGGAGGCAGTCAAACTGTTCAACTGTCTGCAGCAGCTGGAGTCTGCGCGAGAGCCCGTGCCCATTATTCAGGGGGTTCTGCAGACCTGCTTGGACCTCCGGCCACTCCGGGATGAGGTCTACTGCCAACTGGTCAAACAGACTAGCCACACCCCCCAGCCCTACACCGCCGCCCACCTCCGCTACTGGCAGCTCCTCACCTGCATGAGCTGCACCTTTCTGCCTGGGCCCATCATACTCAAGTACCTCCGATTCCACCTCAAAAGGTAAGTATATCTGTTTAGGTGTTTTATATTGTTGGATAAACTGTATTTCAATAAGGGATTATCTTTAGTATAGATCTAGACTAATAGAATACCAGAAAACACAATGATGTCACGTCTGAGGAGGCAGCCATTTTGGTTGGCAAAAAGCATTCATATCAACAAGTCGACATCAACAGTACAACCTCAACATCGTCAACAGTTATCAGTGAGTTTTAACTTTTCAAAGTAACATTTTTGATCCTCAACATTCAGTGACTTAAGTAAGATGATGAAGTCATGTTAAAACAATTAAATGCAAAACCTACTTCAAAATAAGACGAGTTATCTCATGACAGACATATGCAACGCAACTGTTAATACAAACAAGCATCCTCATTGACTTCTTGCTTACCAGCCACTGTGCATGTGCTTAAAAGCCGGATATAAACAAAAACTACGTTTTCTCCTATAGCCTACTCATTATGGGAGTTATTTGTTAATTTCTTCTTTAAAAAAATATTGTACTTAGGCTCATGTGCTTCATATTCCACCTCAAAATATAAGTATTTTAGGTCTGTCAGAATATTGTTTCTTTTTAGGTCTCAGGTCTTATATATTGGTTGGCTGAACTGTATTTCAATAAGGGATTCTGCTTAGTAGAGGTCTAGACTAATAGAATAGTGTACTCTTGTATTATTATGGGAGTAATTTGTTTATTTCTTCTCAGACAAGTACCTGAGATGTAAATCTGTGAGAATATTGTTTCTGTTTAGGTATCTATTTTATCTTGTTGTTGGCTAAACTGTATTTCAATAAGTGATTCTGCTTTATGTAGCTCTAGACTAATAGAATCATTATCATGAGTTACTTTTCAAAAAAAGTGATTGACAGCTAATTTGATGGCGGTACTTCGTGTTGATGTGCGAAAGAGACCCGACCGCCTGTCTGTTAAGGGACTGACAAGCTGACAGTTAAAATAATAATAGACAGACAGTGTAAACTCGTAATTGCCTTTCCAGGTGCTGGCAGTGGTGCAAGCCTAACTGAAACTGAACGCTGCAGTGTATAGTAGGTAGCTACAGAAAAATCTTGGGTCTAGACAGCGGACTGAACCCAGGCGCCAGCACTACTAACCACCAGTTTAGATATAGCAGTGTGATATGCCTTCACATTGTTAGCGTGTTCCCCTCAGACGCATCAAAAAATATTCCTGGCCTGGATTTGCAAGTTTGAATTAGCCTCCCGCCTAGCATGCTAATCTAAAGATGTTAGCGCTATACTGATCCTCGGCTGTGGATATTCTGTCCTTCACCAGGCCAGATTCAAGCCATCTATAAGTCAGCACCAGAAATCAGCGCGGAGCAGCTAATAGAGCGGTGGCATGCGATCGCAAACTGTAATGCCATGAAACTTGCCGCTTGTGAGTTTGGATACAAGTGGCTGCTGCTCTCACGCACTCTCCCTAACTGTGGATCAGTGCAGCTGGGCAGACTCGAACTGGGCACTGCTCCCAGAAAGTTTAGCTCCCCTTTTTCTCTCTCTCTCCCTCCCGCTCTTTCTCTCTTCATCTTCCTTTCTTGCTCTCTTTATTACTCTCTGTTTTTCTCTCTCTTTGTCTCTTCCTAGTTCTCTTTATTACTCTTTCTGTTTTTGTCTCTCTTTGTTTCTCTCTTTTTCTCTGAATCCCTCTCTCTGTATCTCTGTCTCTTTTTCTAGTTTGCTTTATTACTTTTTCTGTTTTTCTTTCTCTCTGTTTCTCTCTGACTCTCTCCCCCCTCTCTGTGTATCTCTCTTTTTGTATATCTGTCTCTCTCTCTCTCTCTCTCTTCATCTCTCTTTCTAGTTTTCTTTATTACTCTATGTTTTTTTCTCTCTCTCTGTTTCTTTCTGTCTCTTTGTCTCTGTCTCTCTGTATATCTCTCTCTCTGTATTGATTTCTCTCTCTCCCTCTTTCTCTCTTCTCTCTCTCTCTGTTTCTCTCTATCTCTCTGACTCTGTCTCTCTCTCTCTCTGTCTGTGTATCTCTCTCTTTATCTCTATCTCTCTCTCTCTCTCTTCATCTCTTTCTAGTTGTCTTTATTACTCTCTCTGTTTTTCTCTATCGAAAAACAGAGAGAAACATGAGAGAATGTTTCTCTCTAACTCTCTCTCTCTGTCTCTCTGTCTGTCTCTCTGTCTCTCCCTTTCCCCCCTCTCTCTTCATCTCTTTTTCTGTAGTTCTCTTTATGAATCTCTCTTTTCTCTCTCTCTCTGTTTCTCTCTAGCTCTCTGACTCTCTCTCTGTCTGTGTATCTCTCTCTCTGTCTCTCTCTCTCTCCATTTCCCCATCTCTCTTCATCTCTTTTTCTATAGTTCTCTTTATTACTCTCTCTTTTCTCTCTCTCTGTTTCTCTCTATCTCTCTGACTCTCTCTCTGTGTCTCTCTCTCCCTTTCTTCATCTCTCTTTCCAGTTCTCTTTATTACTCTCTGTTTCTCTCTCTGTGTTTCTCTCTATCTCTCTGACCCTCTCTCTGTCTGCATCTCTCTCTCTGTCTCTGTATCTCTGTCTCTCAGTCTTTATCTCTCTCTTTCTCTCCTTCACAGAACCTCTCACTCACTCCCCATCCCTCCTTTTCTCCCTCTGTCTGTTTTGTTTTTCTCTCCCCCACTCTCTATCTGTCTCCTTCTCTCTTTTTCTGTGTCACTCTCTGTCTCTTTCGCACTCTCTCTATCCTTCTCTCTCTCCTTCCGTCTCTCCCAAAAATGCCCAGAGAAACCCCCGGGGAATGTCTGCTGTCAGAGCGAATAGGCCAGACGAAAGGAAGCAGAGAAGAGAGAGAGAGAGGAGAGGGGTGGAGAAGGAGGAGGGAAGGGGGCACCGGCCGGATCAGTCCAAGTCAGTGGAACATTCCTAATTATATTTCAGCAGGACAAATCCCACCCTGCGGCTCTGTACTTATGAGAGACATTGGCGGGAATGAGAGGGACCTTTTTGCTGTCTCCCCCTGCGTCTGTCCCACTTTTGTGTTCTTTGGGAGGATGGCCATTTGATAATTGTTTCCTCCTATTTTCTCTTTGTTTACCCAAGACTTAACTCCAAAAACAAGAGGTTGTATTTCACACCTTTGACGCTGTATGGTTGATGTAGCTGTCCGTGAGTCTTTCAAGTGACTTTTTTTAGCAAACATGCACACACCTAGCTCCCCTGGATGCTCCGCTGGGAGGAAGTAGCAGGTCGCTACGGTTCACGACAGCGGAAATAACTTTTCCTGTTTAGCGCACTACCCAATGTCAAACATGTTTTTTAAGGCATTTTCCTTTACTTTGAAGGGATGAAGGATCAGGGGCCTTTCAGGTTTTTAAGTGCCAAAGTGCACACATTAGTCATTCTTTGCCTCATTGACTTTCCAGCTACGCTCCAAAGAAAATAAAGAACCCTACTGAATTCAAACATGACGTAAAGGTCCTAATTGTGGCATGAGAATTTGAAAATTAGCTAAACAAGCATGTGTTTTTCTTTTGGGGATCTGTACAACTAGATAGAAAAAAATGACGTAAACTTAAAGTATGTAGCTTTTCTGGTGGAGGGTAGAATTATTGCTTTGCTTGGAATGTTACACTGTATGGCATTAAACGTAGCAATGCCACCAAGCCAGATTACAACACCATAACGCTCATAATAATACAGGATTTTGAAGTTATTTTTGACTTATTAAAAACACTTGTTGAAGAAATGAAATAGGGAGACATGTTTAAAACAATGCTGTTAAACATTCTAGGCAAAGCAATAACCCCAAGCTGGAGCATCCACCAGAAAAGCTCCATAGTGCAGCTTTAAACAGAGACTACCCACCCACTCACACCTGTTTCTCTTGTTTTGTTTTTCACAGGGTCCAAAGCCAAAGTCCGGAGTCAGAGATGGACAACTACGCGTCGTTCATCAGTGAGGCCCTGGAGAAGACCAAGTGTCGTGAATGCGTGCCTTCCTGGGACGAGATCCACATGTTGATGAACAGACAGGAGATGCTCTGCACGGTGCATTACCCAGGCCCAGGCTCCTGCCAGCTCTACGTCAGCTCACACACAACAGCTAATGAGGTGAGGGGGAGTTCTTATGGACAGTTCCCATGAATTTGGAAGTTTGATGTTGGCTTGTGACCAAACTGTGGGACAAGTACACAAGGCTCTTCTAAAGTTGTGTGGTCTTCTTTTGGGTTATTCCTTGTTTAGAAATACTTTAGTCTAAGGTTGTGGAAAAAATATTCCCCAGATACTAAACCAAGTGATACTGAAACTAGCACTGAAACTAGATTTTAACTCATTTGAAAAAGAAATGAAAATAATCACATATATTAGACAAAATTTGACCAGAATAATTTTAGAATGGTCTTAGTCTTGAAATGTAGTTGTGTGAAACTACTTTAGTCACAACACTATGTGAGTCACACAATGGACCGATTTTAGACTTGGTTTAACCCAGTTTAGACCTGGTACAGATCTGAAGGGACTTGGAGAGACCAGTATTTTCTTAGGTGGTTGTTGGCGGAAAAGGTTTGAGAATCACTGACACTACAGTATGAATAAAATAAAAATATTAAAAGTCATAACTCAATGTGTTTACATTTTGTTGAGGATTCAGATAATACACCTTTGCATTTAATTTAATTTAAGCCCACCCAGAAACTGTAGCAGACGTGACATTAAACACGTACATTGACTTTGACATTGAAAGTAATAAATTGTATGAACTATTAGGCTTATACTCTTACATCAGTTACAGCACAGGTTTGTCTGGAAAGGACATTAGAAGCAAGAATAGCTCCATTGTAAAAGAAAGCATTACTCACCATATTATGCCATGTAACTGTGAGTAACTATGAGTAGACTGACTTTCGTAACATTTATTCTGCTGGGAAGTCTGTTACCTTCCTGTCTCCATGAATATGTTAATGCTTTTTGTGGAATGTTCCCCGGTATGGCATTAAACTTATCTAAACTTATAATTTGTTCAATTACAGGTGTTTTTATTGCTCAAAATCTCCTTGAAAAACATTCTTACTTTATGTGAGGCTGCTTCTTCACATTTCTGATCTGTAACTAGGTCTAGTGTTGTCACCTGCTTGTCTTCATTAAGATTAAATGCCATACTGTGGAACATTCCAGACAAAGTGCAAACATCTCCATAAAAACAAGCAGATGGTTTACCATAAAAGGGCATATTATGCTATTTTCTGATCTTTGCTATAAAGTTGTTTCCTTGTCAAAAACATAGCTGGAGTTGTGCTTTATTTCATTTACACAAAAACACAACTCCAGATATGTTTTTGATGAGAAAACAACATTATAACATGTCTTAAAGCTCACAAGAGTCAGGTTTGTGTAATATAGGACCTTTAAAACAAGGCAATGCATTTTTAGACGGTGACATACACTAAAAGATTTTGTGGCATGTTTTAATTATTACTTATTTTTACCACATACTTTTGTCTTATATGCAGGTGGTGCGACGGATGCAGGAGAAGCTCAATCTTCAGGACAGTAAAAATACATTTGCACTATATGAGCAAAACGCACTGTGGGAGCAGCCAGTGTCCGGTAGTACCCTCATCGCAGACATCCTGACCAGGTATGACCAAATGAAATACTGACCTTGAACTTGTAAAATTACATGAACAAGGTCAGGAACTGTAAAACTCAGTGGACAAACACATTATCGAGGGAGTTCAAGTGTGTTAGGAATCCTCGTTATTTGTCGCTTGAAGAATGTGCTGAAGATGGATTATATGTAATTATGTGTACTTTGCGTCCTAAACTAGTTATTCATGCAATGCACACCAAAACCTCATTAAAATATTTGGCTTTCAAGTACCATCAGAACTGACTGCAAATGGGTGTAAATTTCATGAAACAAATCAAACATTATTACAGCAGATTAATCGCATGCAAAATATGAAACGCATGCAATTATTCAAGAAATATAATGTCCTCTGTGAACTTTGAAATTTGCGGTCTCTATGGGGTCATGTTGTTAATAAAAAAATAAAAAAATAAATAAAAAAACTTCTCCAAACATGTTCTGAAATACAGGGGATTTGCGTATTAGTTTAAAAGCCCATATTTCAGTCTTCACTTGAAGAGTCCAGGGACTGAATCTTGGACAAAATTACAATAACATATTTTTACAAAAAGACTAAGGATTAAAACCTCCTTAGAGGTGCATTATGTAACTTTTCTGGTGAAGGATCTGTCAAATGCTTTTCTCTATAGAGATGTTATTTCTTTGTCTGGAATGTTTTGCAGTACGGCATTAAAACTTTCTATTTTCATGGAGGCCAAATCAGACCAAGTTACAGATCAGATCTGTTTAGAGGCAACCCCACTCACAGTCAGAAGCCTGTAGAGCTGGGAGAGCTGTTTAATGTCATACTGTGGAGCAATGGCATCTCCATAGAAATGGACCCCCAACCAAAAAGTTACATAGTGCATCTTTAAATTCAACAAGACTACTAAAGATTTTTGAATATCTTGCCATATACCAGCTACAGCCCCACACCCCAGTTTGAACTCCACTGTGCCAATCTCTGTGTACGTGATAACTGGTGTCCTTGTCTACTCCTGTGGTTAAACATCACACTTTGCTGGGAACAGTAGTCAGTCAGAAGCTGTCAGGAAAAAAGGATATCCAAGGTAAAGCTGATGTCATTTGGTTGCACAAGGCAGAATCTAGATGATAAGGGAGCTGAAAGGAATCAAAGAGATCACTGTATTTTTGGAAGGCGTAGGCTCCATGTCCTTAGACTGTTTACTGACAAGGTAAACATGAAACAAAGTGTTACCAAGTATATTACACGCTGTATCAGACAAGGCCTTATTAGTGAGGTGTGGAGAATGTTGTGTTTGTTAATCTGTAATTCTCTTTCCAACAGCTTTTCTGCTAAAGAGGCAGAATCCAAATCCCAGTGGAGGCTGTGTTTCAAGCTCTACTGTCTGCTAGACGCTGACAGCATTTCTGTGGACAGCATTGAATATTTCTTTCTGTTTGAGCAGGTAATGCATCCAGCACAACCATGCTAGATTCTTCTTTGATCAAGTTCGCCTCAGTATTGATGCAGGGGTATAATTTATAGTTCTGCAGTTTAGTATTTCATTGGGTTGTGTCTATACTTAGAAATTATTAACAGGCTGCTATCACAGGAAAAGGGGGGACAGTATGAGAGAACTGGCAGCAGCAGTGTTCACAGGCCAAAGGCAGCCAACAGGCCAACCACTAGGACATTGTTCCTCTGGGTTTACATAAAATGTAATAGGACTAAATAAAGCAGGGTGGGTCAGAGTGGATTGATGGTACTGTTGGGACATGTACTTACAAATGTCTCTCATGTTTCTCCTGCTGTTGGACCCGCTGCAGTGCCATGAGATGGTGGTGAGGGGCCAGCTGCCCGCCTGTGATGAGGACCTGCAGACTCTGGCTGCTCTCAGGCTCCAGTCGCTGTTTGGAGACTTCAGCACTCACGCCCCTTGCCCCCCTCTGGACGAGCTATTCCCTGGGCCCATGCTGGAGGCCAGGGTGCTCATGTCCCTCACTGCCCCCCCAGGACTGCCCCCCTGCACAGTGCCCGCTCAGGGCTGCCCCGGGACAGGCTTCCCCTCGGGCCTCCTCTCAGGGACTCTGTGGACAACAGTGCATAAGCAGAAGGTGGAGCAGGACTTACGGCTGCGAAGTCGCCTCAAAGAGGAGGCCACTGTTGTCATGGCATCCATCTTGGAGCGCTGGAAGGGTTTGTCTGGCTACAGCCGCTTGGACAGTATGGCCGCTTACCTCACTATTGCACGCCAGTGGTCAGGCTTTGGATGCACTCTGTATGAAGTGGACTTTTATATTGTGAGTAATTTGGGAACATGTGAAGTTTTTAGCTCTGGCTGTCATGCCTTTTCTCAATAGTAATTGCATAGTAGGAATAACATGTTGACCTGGGGTGAATTAACTTTTACTTCTCCCTCCAGAGTTCGACGGGGAACTTTTCCCAAAAGCTGTGGCTGGGTGTAGCTGCTACGTCAGTGTCTCTGTACCGTCAGGGAGAGGCCGAAGCGCTCGAATCCTTCCCCTATGGCCAGATCTGTTCATATGGTGTATCCGATAGCAACACGTTCAAGATAACCGCGGGAGACCGAGACCTGCTGTTTGAAACAACCAAGGTACTAGCACATAAAGCTTAAAGGAGGAAGCTTCTCTGTATGTGATTTATCTTGAGTATATTCTGCACTAAAGTGAAACTTTAGCCCATGTAAAAAGTTCTTATCACAGTGCAGTGTTGTGCACAGGAAGTTAAAGGAACACTGTTTGCTCCTGATGCCCTCCTCCCTCCAGCTCCGACCCACTTTAAAAACACTCATTAATTTGGCCTAAAAAGAGAGCACACACAACCTGGGCCTTGACCGCTGACCATCGCTAACCACCAAAACTCTCACTTCCTGTTGTTAAATGGTTACTGGGGGTGCATTTTATTGCTCTGGTTAGATTAAAATATTAGGCCAAACATTTCTCGGAAGCATGGATCTTCTTTGCAAGACAGTTTTTTTTTTGTTTTTTTTTTTTGTGCAGAACAAATCTTGCCTTTCATTGCTTAGATTTGACTGCATCTTCCCACAGTGAACAGAAATCCCTCTGTGATCTCTCTTGGGGCACAAAAGTGGCTTTTATTTATTTATTGCAAGCTCAGGCGATTTGGAGGAGGGCTGGGAGAGTCTAGTGCTTTTAAGATTTTAGTCCTTATCCTCCTCTGACACGAATGAGCAAGGTTTTTATTATCTGTATAAAATGTTCAGGCGGAAAAACATTTGGTGATACTGATTTAGAGTTTTAAGTGGATTGGGAAAGACATGCTATGTGCTAATAATCCTGGTGAACAGTAGTAAACAAAACAGATATGCAATGAAACTAGTGCAACAAAATATATAACAAAAAGTGATTTTTAAGAAAAGGGAATTTTAAGCAACACATTTTGAATCATAAGGTGCCTAAAAGAAAATACAATTACACTATGTTGTTTTGTGTTTAGTGATGTCATGGTATAATTGTAAAATTTTTAAATCATTCACAATTATCAGCATCATGACCAAAAAAATGAGAAATTAAAGTCTTATTTCTCTTTCATTCTTTAATAGATCACAATTCCTCAAGTATGTGACAGCTTTAGGACTTGCTATGGGCGGCAGTAGCTCAGTTGAGGTGTTTGCCCACTGAGCCGAAGGTTGGCAGTTCAAATCCCACTCTCGATATAAACATAAATGAAAAAAAAGAAAGAAAAATAAATATAAAATGTAATATAGTGTCTGTGTGCACTGGCTTATGAATGTGTGTGTGAATGAGTGAGTAGTTCTTTGAGAGCCTAGAAGGCGCTTTATAAAAATGTGACCATTCACCATTTTTACCATCAAACCTTCTGAACGAATGAAGTAAAGCTGATGTGACAAAAATTGCTACATATAGAGCACTTTAGATTTAGGTTCACTTTTCTGAATGTAGATTTATTAGAAATGACTTTCAGCCGATGACTTGCATGATAGCCAACTCATAGACCTACAGTTACATGGATAACTGACATTTATTTTAATTCTAAAAGTCTCACAATTCTGATTATTTTGGTTCTTGCTATTATATTTTGACCTGTATAACCACAATTATAGATTAACGCAATAATCTTGACATCCCTGCGTCTACATTTCATGGCTATACTTATATGCACATATGGTGATAATTTATGTCTCATTCACTCGATGAAAGTTTAGGAGTGGAATAGACAGGCTTTCAATTGCAATTTTAGGAACATTTTACACATGACATTTCATTTGTAAGTTTGGCATGTTTATGGAGAGTGTATGATTCTGCCAAAGGAACATCGCGCTCAGTTCTTGGATGATCCCAGTTTTCTCACAGCTGGATGACTTCACCCCCTCCACCCTTCGTTCGACACTCAGCCTGCCACCCATCTGACCCTTGTCCTCTCTGTCTTTCTCTCTGTTCCAGTTGACGGAGATCCTGCAGCTGATGAACGCATATTTCAGTGCCACCCGTCGTCAGCGAGGCAAAGCTGAGGAAGCGGACATCACGCGGGACCATCACTTGACCCCAATGCCAGCGTCTGCCCTCCTGGAGCTGCCTTCACATCCAGTCTGAGACCCCCATCTCCAAACCCCCGCCCACGTACCTTATCCCATCCTAACTCCACACGTGGCCCCCTCAGGCACCTCCTCCTCCGCCCAGTCCTCCTCCGCTGGGAAAAGCACAGCAGCCAAAACAAAGAGAGGGCTGTTTTCACTCCCCATCCGTGAAAATAAACCCTGGGCCTAGCATTGCAGCTGAAGGAGCGATAGAGACTTGAAGAAGGGGGGAAGGGGCGAGGCAAGTGGTTCTGTTTTTGGATAGGGGCCAGAAAGCCGCAGAAACCAATGTGGTTGGTGATGAGGTGTCACACTCACAGCAAACCCCCCCACTCCACCCTGTCACGCACACACCTTATCCCTTTGACAATGTGAGATGTACTGTAGCAGCATTTAAATATAATGGCACCAAAAACTGTGGTATTGACTATGTGAGTGGTTCTGAAACTTTCAACAAGTACGGATTTGGGGTAAATGAGGATTTAAAGGTGCACCATGTAGTTTTTCTGGTGGCGGGTCTGCTACCTGCTTGTCTCCATAGAGATGTCTTTTTCTTTGCCTAGAATGTTCCACAGTATGGCATTAAACTTCTCTTCATGGAGCCAGGTGAAATCTGTAGAGAAGGTTGATGTAGATGTTTTCAAGGTATTTTTGAGTGGTTATAACACTTGTAACTGAATAAATGCAAGATAGACAAGCTTAGTGACATACTGTGGAACATTCTACGCAAAGCAGCATCTCCATGGAGACGAGCATATGACAGAAAAGTTACATAGTGTACCTTTAACCAAGATTAATCTCAAATAGAAACCACGGACTCAAAATCTGGAATAGTACAAAGAAAAGAGCTAAATATGGACAAACCCAGAACTAAACCAGGACTGAACTAGGACTGAACCAGGACTTAACTGTGCCTCTGCCAGAAATGAATGGTCCAAAGTCTCAATCAAAGAACTAAATGAGTGCTTGAATTGTAATATTCCTAGTTCTTACCACCACCACAGCCCTTGCCTACCACCAGTGATATCACAGTAAGAACCACTGCCTTATATGAAGAAAAAGTAACACTACATTTTATTTAACTCTTTAAGTAGGTGTGCCATATTGCTCCAGTCTTTTTCCTAGAAGGCCTGGAGACTTCAAGTACTTTCTCATTGGGCGCCCCCCTTAATGTTCAGCAGAGTTTTCACAAGGTCCCGGGCAGAGGCTTGCGTTACCTGGAACTGTTGATGCATACAACCATGTGATCCCAGAACTGGAAACAGATGTTGAACTTTGCAGCGAAAAAGTCACTTCGGCGGGCCTTGAAGACTCTTGGGAAAATCAGCTGTGCGTGTGTGTAATTTTAATCACGAGATCTACTTCCTGTTTGACGATGGAGTAGATGAAACGTTTCACCAGAAAACCAAAGGACTGTGGAGCAGTTTCTATACGCTGTCTTTAGCACCAAAAATGCTCTGATTTGTGTCCTTTTGTCACATTGCTGCTTGTCATGGTTAACACTTGACTTGTTTTGTGTCAGCTACAGCTATGCTAAATTTAAAAGTGCACTTTGTAACTTTTTGGTTGGGGTTCAGTCATCTGCTTGTTTCTGTGGATATGTCATTGCTCTGCCTGGAATGTTCCACTGTATGACCTTAAACACTCTCCCTAACATTTATTCAATTACAGGTGGCGTTATAGCTCAAAAATATCTAGAAAAAATGCATTCTGACTGTGAGTGGGGTTACCTCTCCTGTAACTTAGTTTGGTTTCCATCAGGATAGAAAGTTTTAATGTCATACTGTGAAACAATCCAGACAAAGCAGTAACATCTCCACAGAGAAAAGCATCTGATGGGCCTTCCACCAGAAAAGTTACACAGTGCACCTTTAACTGGTGCTTCCGTGTTTAATTTTGTTACTTTTAAACTGTATATAATTTGTAGATTATAAAATGAGCCTTTTAAAAGATGACGACATATTGCTTTGCTTTCCCTACACATGCCTTTTTGTTTTATTTATGTTTTTTACTGTCACTACGTCTTAATTGCAGTTGTGTTTCCTTGTTTTGTTGAACTGATCTGAGCCGTAAATGCCATTGGCTCACTTCAGTTGTAGAAATCCTTTGTAGCTCTGTGTTCACTGTTCCTCTTTTCTAAAGCCAAAGTCCCAGGTTTGAAACGGACCAAAGATTTTTAATAAGCTTTTATGACAGCAGGTTACATAAATATGTTGTAATTCTAGTAAATGTGGTCGCACTTTACTTTACAGCACAAGAATAGCATGGTAACTGAGATAACAAGGGATTAATGCATTGGCAGTCCTGTTTCCATATTATTAAAATAAAATACAGCCACGTTACCTGGTAATTTACAGTCTTCATACTGGGTTAGGATTAATCTTAAGACATTAAATAAAATTTAAAAAAACAGATACCAAGGAATTATTACAGTGTAAACACCAATTACTTTTAGTTACCATACAATTACTCTGCTATTATTGTACTGTTAAGTAAAGTGTACTGTAAAGTTAATAGCATTTATACAGCCATAAAATCATGCTTTTCTAGCCTCAAATGTTAAACTTGATCCTGTCACCACAAAAGGCCTTGACACGGTCGGCCTTACGCCTGTGAACACACAGGGCCCTCGCTTTTTCTACTGCAGCTGCAGGCAGCTCCAACCCATGTGTTTGTAAAGAAACTGCGGAAGTAGCTTTGTATTAGGCTTGTTTGTATGCTGCATGGTACCTTTTACGTTAATGTGTGTATAGTTCATTGCACTATTTGTTTGTTTTTAACTAACTTGGAAGTGCAATAAAAACTATAAATACTGTATGAAATTAATAAAAGCCTCCATTTGAACACATCTATTGTTATTGTCCCCAAAAATATCCCTTAATTTCCTTTGTTTAATCTTGAAAGTTGGGCTTTCTTCTGCTTTGACTGGTCAGGAGTTCACCATTGTTATGACCAAGGCACATTTCATAGAAACTTGACATTTGGCTCCAGCTGAGGGCTACCTCCCATGTAGCTTTTCTGGTTGACAACAATAGCAGGTTGAGTAAGCGTTGCTAAGTGCTTCTCGCGTTCCCCAGTGGTAATGAGCCTTAACTCAGTACAATGACTGGCATCCAGCACAGAGTTAGGTGAAAGCAATAATTTGGCCCTTTTGACAGCTGGTTTAGTTTACCTTAATGTATGATGTAAAACAGATGGAAAAACTTTTAATAGAAAATGTTTATTCACTTTAAACAGGTCCAACAGGCAAAGCGACATTAAGCAGAATATTTAAGATAACACACAAAGCCAGAGAACCATTGTATATTTACAGCCATAGAGTGAAATTTAATGTGTTACTATATCTGCCTTAAGTGCTCTTTTAATGGCTGGTATGTGAATATTTTTCTGACCACAAACAATATTTTCACCACATTCTTCATGGTCTGAAAGAGAGCTGTATTGCAGCAGCACAAGGTAGCAATGCAGGTACGAAATGGAAAGCAAGACCCTGCATTTACCACAAACCCTGCACAATCCTGCTCCCCAAATTCAAGGCAAATAACTCCAAATTATATTCAAAAATGTGTAGAAAAATAGACCAGACAAGGCAATGCGTAGTTTCATAAGAAGGGGGAAAAATAATTCAACCAACACCAGGAAGAAACATTAAACTTTGACTATTTGTGTTATATAATCTCAAAAACAACAGGTTATGGCTAAGCAGGAAATAATTACACTTTTTTCCATCTTATTTTGGTTATAACTCCTAGCCATTAAAACCCCTCCCATTTTCTGCTTGCTACACTATCACATGCCAAGAAATTAACATGTTTTAGAGAGATTATTGCCAAGCACCTGTTTCTATTAAGACAAATGAAGAACAATCTGGGGCTTGTAAAATGAGTTGGAAAATACTAGCTGAACAGTTATGGGTGGATTGTAACATTTTTGGGTCTCACTGCTCCTGCGTGCCCCAGGAAATGTAGTCTGGGCGAGTGGCTGCTATGTATTCATCCACCAACTGCTGCACCACTTCACGAGAGTTGTCCAGTTCGTCAAAGTTATCCTTGAAGATGTCCTCTTTACGAAACTGCTCCAGGAAGGCTTCACGTTTACGGAGTTTGTCGTACTGCCGGCATGTTCGCTCAAATAACTATGGGAACAAAGGAGAAAAGAAAGGGTTAAATTTTATTAATTCCATAGAGGACAAATCTACTTCTAAAGGTGCACTATGCAACTTTTTGTTAGGGAGTCTGTCACCTGCTTTTTTCTAAGGCTATGTCATTGCTCTGCCTGGAATGTACCACAATATGACGTTAAACAGCACTACCTTACATTTATTCAATTACAGGTGATTTTATAGCTCAAAAAGTAACTAGAAAAACAGGCATTCTGACTGTGAGTGGGGTTGCCTCTCCACAGATCTGACTTATAACTTGGTGTGGTTTGGTCTCCATGAAGATAGAACGGTTTAATGCCATAACATCTCCATGGAGAAAAGCATCTGACAGGCCTTCCACAGAGGAAGTGCAAGTGTTACACAATGCACCTTTAAGACAGCTCTTGCAACATAATTCAGATTTTTTTTTAAGCAATATATAGAAAGTAAAATGTTTTTAGTCTTTTACATTGTTATTTTATCAGAGTATCCAATTAAAGATGCACTATGTAACTTTTCTGAAGAAAGAAACGCATCAATCTCCATGGTGACAAGCAGGTGGTGTGCATATTTCAGAATTAACATTAAAGCAAACCTAAAAATGTATGTTTTGATACCTTTTAATGCAGCTAACAATACCATTTAAAATTCAAATCCAACTGACAAAAGGAGTAAGGAGTCAAGTGTCAGACTATTTTCCATCAAACTCCTAATTTCACTTGAAACTTGATTACAGATTAGTACTATCTAGAGATCTAGAGATGGACTTTTTTGTTTGTTTGTTTTAGTATAAACTGTCATACCATGAATATTATTACTAAAGTTTAGACTAACAAACTTGGTATCCAGGCCAGAACAAACTCCATCACCCGGGTAATATTTAAGGATTGGGAGAAACTGAAACACAGTTCTCTGACTCAACCGGGACAGGCCTATTAGACTGGAAATCCCCACTCACATATATATTTAAGTTCTGGTGTTGTCATAGCGCCTAAAGCATTGTTCTCTTCGCAGATGAAATAATATAATGACATCACATGACATTTACTTTCCACACCAGCAGAACATTTTTATAGGTTTAAAAAGGAAATAGCTCATGTGTCTACATCTCTATCCAAAATGTAATTCATGTAAAAATCCCCCAAGGTCTTCTTTAACAGTGACGTTAAATCAAATCAGGGCTCCCAGTAGTGTGTAGGAACCAAGGCAGGAGCTGAGTTAGTCTGCTCATAAATCATATAGATGCATAAGTACACACAAAGAAACTGAATGTAATGACAAAATGTAACAGAGCAGGTTGTGGTGATAACTTTTTATGAAGCCCCGTCGAGGCGAGAAAAAAAAAGTGCACTACGACTTTTATGGATGAAGGTCTTCTACCTGCTTGTCTCTATGGAAATGTTCTTGCTTTGCTTGGAATGTTCCACAGTATGGCATGAGGGATGGGACAATAAACAATAATAGGTATAGTGGTAAAAAGGGTTGACAAAGGTTGATAGTAATCATTCGTGGTACATTTTGTATAAACGTGATAAGAATGTTCAGAGAAAAGTTACTTATCCTTAATGTTATCTTCTAAATCATTGTTATTTTCACTGATAACAAAGTACAATACTATAAAAGTTGTTCATAATTTATAATATTCATATTATAATTATGAATATTTCTGGCATTCTTACACTGTTAGAAGTTGTAATAATTATTGTGATATTATTGTTAATCAAATCATTTTGGCAATGATAATCTGAACATTTCTATATCGTACAACAATACTTTACAAGAATGGATATTTTTATGTTAAGTATTTTTGAGCAATACAAACCTATAATTGAATCTATGCAAGATGGGAAAATGCAATGCCATACTGTGGGACATTCTCGGCAAAGTAGGCAGCAGATTCTCCACCAGCAAAGTTTCACAGTGCGTATTTAACTTACATTAGAGATACTTGTGTGGTTTGCCATCATCAGGCCGCTGACTCTGTGGGCAGAGGGCAAGTACGGAGATCTTCTGGACAGAGCCACCTGGATACTGGCCGGACCCCACGGGATGAAACTCGCCAGCTTCCTCTCACGAATCCTTTGGAGGCTTTTATGCACCTAAAAACAAGGGGCATTCATTCTTAATGTGCAAATAACCAAGTATCAGGTCTAGTCCTGGTTTATTTACAGGTGATATGCGGTAAGTGTAGATGAACTTTAATTTTAGTCAAAAATCAACAATCCATGAGGCAAAAATACTACTGAGCAGCTCAAAAGTATCACTGAGTCAATCTTTTAACATTAGTAAAACAGTTAACACAATAGTAATAAAGAAGAGTAATACAAAAGTAATAAGTAAGTTTGTGTATACTGGAATACAATTACTTTGCAGTGACGTCATGATGGGGGTGTTCTACATGTATCACTATTGCGGAATGTTCAGGAGTTTCCATGGTTACATAATGCACACATTAGCAAACGCTACCAAAAAAGTTTTAAAATGGTCTGAAAACTAAAGAACAAATTACAAAATGGATCTAAACAGAACATTTTCAGTACGAGTGCTCATGGGTTTGGTGTTTGAATTTTCAACACAAAGATGAAAGTAACAGAAAAACTAAACAAAAACAACAACAAAAAGAGGGAGGGACTTGTTTAACAGCAAAAATCTGCTCACCTGTTGTACTCCCAACTAAGTCAACTCTTTCTGGTCAAATTGCATTAAAATAAAGCTCAGTTAAAGTCTAACAGAATCTCAAACAGAGCAGAGTCTCTAGTCAGCATCACATCCTCAGAGAATGTTGATGAAAAGCATCAATATGAAACAAAAGAAATGACTATAGGAATCACAGACTTAGTAGCCTTGTCATCTCATTCTGTTCCATTTTCAAGTTTATACCTGAGTGGGATCGACTTCTCCCTGGATGATGTTGAGGATGGCGATGTAGCAGTGACTGGGCTGACGCTCTCGTCCTGTGGAAACCATCACGTTTTTGGGCTGAAGGAGCCTCCTCATCACATCCAGGACTGTGGTTTTCCTCACACTAGCAACCTAACAAACACAACACAAACACAAATGTCACAAATTTAAGAAAAACAGTTTGGGGAGAAGTGGAGAGGTCAGGAACAGTCTTACAAATATCTGAATATAAATGTCAAAATACCACCAAGCTGCTTACAGAAGTATCAATACATTCCATTCAAAGATATGATAAATCCATATGCAATGCCAAACTTAAAGTGTGTATGACAGATTTTTCTTTTGTAATTTGTGAAGAAAATTGGAAAAAGATGTTGAAAATTAAAGGAAGTAGAGATTTTAAGACAGATTGATGGCACAATAAGGAGAATTCTATCCAAAGGTTTGGCATAATTTACATGCAAGAAACACATTTTTTATAGTTTAAACATTTTTATTTAGATTTGTATATCAGATAATAATTTCTGTGTACATTAGACTTTTGAAACAGAATTCCCTAGTGTGGTGTCACAATTTTAAACAAGGAAATAAAATTAAAAACCCCAAAAATGCCCAAATTAGGAAAACAAGTGAAAATGTTTTTGCAAATATCTTAAAAATAATGATCGTAACTGTGTTTTACTAAAAAGAGTAGTCTAATCTGTTATAGACACTTTAATCTAGAGCAGGGGTGTCCAAACTTTTTTCATCAAGGACCACATATCTAAACACAGACGAAGCAGAGGGCTGATCAAGGGCCATA